GTGATAGGAGGTTGGAGAAAACTGCACAGTTAGGAGCTTCATAACTTGTACTCTTCTCCAAGCATAATTAGAATGATCAAGTCAAGGAGGGTGAGGTGGGCAGTGCATGTAGCATGAATGGGGGAGATGAATGCGTATAGGATATTGGTGGGGAAGCCAGAAGGAAAGATACCACTGGGAAGACCAAGGCGTAGGTGGGTGGACAATATTAAAATGGATCTTAGAGAGATAGGATGGCATGGTATGGATTGAATTGATTTGGCTCAGGATATGGACCAGTGGAGGGCTCTTGTGAACACAGTAATGAACCTTCAGGTTCCATAAAATGGTGGGAAATTCCTGAGTAGCTGCAGAATTGGTGGCTTCTCCAGAAGGGTTCAGCTCCATGAGTATGAATGAATGTATGAGGGGTAGGCCTTCTCGGCCCTTGCACCATGACCTACAGTGGTCTGTTGTGCTTCAGCTCCATGAGTAACTAACTAAGTATAAGGGTCATTTATGCATTTTAATTCACCTGTAAAATGGAAGAGAATTGTTTGATTTTTAAATTTAGCCAGAGGGTCTTTCAGAAATGCATTCACAAGAAACTCCTTTCCTAATGTTGTATTTTAGCGTCCTGTTGCACTGAGTTTCGTCCATGATATGTATGCAGTGTCCGTCTTTTAGTGCACTCAATTTCACTTGTTATTTCACAACATGTTTCGGCACTATAGTGCCATCATCATATGCGTTAATCTATTTCATTGCTTGCCATTATGTCATTGTAAAATTTAAAAAGTATTTAAAAATGTTCGTCAATTATAATAAATATTTATATACTAAAAACTTGTTAAGATTATTTATCTTATCTGTCCCAATTCTAACACCGCGCATAGTTCCACCACTATGGGAGTCATTCCTCTTACTCTCAGTGTATATCATGTCTCTCGTTGTATGTTCCCTGTTTGGTTGCGGGTGGTGTAATGTTGGATGTGTGTGTGTCTTCGTATTCCCTTCCTAAGTTGTGAGAGATAGAAACAAAAGGGAACTGTGTTTGTTTTTACCATAGTGTGCTGTATAAAATAAGTCAGTTCTTGGCTGTGTGTCAGCTGTAGAGTGCCCAAACTTGTGTTCACAGAGGTAATCTTATAAACCTTACGATGAACTGAAATGTTTAATATAACCATTGTTCCACAGGAAAGAGAAGTTTTGAATTGGAAATGGTGTGCCTGAAACTTGTGTTCACCAAAGCATATTCTGTACCATAAGGTAGAAAACTAAAGAAGTATATGTCTGTTTTTGTCAGTCCATGATACAGAAAAAGGATTTTTATTGTAACAGTAGCCACTGAGATTCAGAAATATGTTTGCAAGAAATGTCACATGTGTTCAGATAATCGTGTAGTATTCCAAAAGTATGAGTAAGAAAGACAAACTACAGAATGATTAATAAAATCATCTTGGCCTATCATCCGAGAAAGTTGGTGGAAAATTACAAACATTTCAGGGACCATCTTTGTCCCCATCATAAGGAGATGATTTTTTATTAACTTAAGCCACTGTGAAAGCTTCATATCTTACAGAATGCTTCTTTCTGTTAACATGTTCCTTAAGAAAATAATGAAATGATTGGATTTGTAATGTTCATCACAGGGTGCAGAAAATATCTTTACATAAAACTTAAGGAAAATGAATGAAAAATGAAATGGATTTATGTTCATAGGTATATTCTGAGAAAGGAATTGGAGCTTTCAAAGTGAGTCACAGAGTGATGTGAAGTGGGTCTGATAAAGGTAAAGTTGCTGCTCTGCTTAATTAAATGAGAACCATGCCATGAAGCAGGTCTACTACAGGTTTTAGTATATATTCATTGTGTTGTGTAATATCTGAAACTAAATAATGCTCATAAAATCCATACTCTTCACTGTTGGCAATAATGGGAATAAATATTTCACTATAGGATATTAAAAATACTGACTGCACTGAAACTAAATTATCCTGATATGTTATATAATGATGGAAATAATTCCTTTTAAATCACCTTTGTCTTAAAGCATATTTTCCAGTGATATCTCTAGTTATGTAACTACAGCATATTACATGCAGTTGGCTGTGCCTGTGCCTGTCCCTGTCCGATATGTACGTTGTGCGTTCAAGTTCTAAGGTCTCCAATTTTTTTCTCACACAATAACCATACAAACAATTTGAAACTTCTGTCACTTTTCAACGTAATGTCCCTGCAGCCATACACATTTTTCACAACGTCGACACCTTGATTCCATGGCCGCTGTGAACACTTCTGTAGAAGTCTGTTTTGACCACTGGAAAATCACGCTTTGTTTCAGGATTGAAAAACGGCATCCATGTCTCATCCATTGTCACAACTGATGAAAACAAAGTCCCATTCATGCCTTCATCACGTGTCAACATCGCCTGGCAAATTGCCATGCACAGCCTTGTGGTTGTCCACCAGAATTTGTGGCACCCACCTGGAGGACATTCGCAGGTCTTCATGCAGGATTGTGTGCACAGATCCCACGGAAATGCCAACTTTGGAGGCAATGTTTTCCACACTCAATCGGCGATCCTCCAAAACAACTTTCTCAACTTGGTCGAACATGTTGTCAGACCAGCTGGTGCAAGGCCGAGATTGTTTTGATTCGTTGTCACACGACATTCGGCCTTCTTTGAACTGTCACACCCACAAACGTACATTTTTCACATTCATGACACCATCACCACATGTCTCACTCAACTGGCGATGAATTTCAATGCGTGTCACGCCACGCAAGTGGAGAAAACGAATGATTACTCGCTGTTATTGTAACGAAAACGTCGCTGTTTTAAGTATCAAAAACACTGCTCACTCTCGCTGCCACCACTAGAGTTCTGTGTGCTGTACAGTGCTACCATCTCTGTCACGCATTCACAAAGAGTGCACACGTATTTTAAACTAAACCGCATGTGTCTATCTGCTCCCAGTCCTGAGAAAAAAAATCGGAGACCTTAGAACTTGAACGCCCCTCGTATTGTAGCATGTAGACCAGGTATGTCAAACTCAACTTGTACAGAGGGCCACCTCGGCCCTATAAATAATAGTCCAGGGCAGCACTTCAAAATAGAAATATACATTAGATTTTGATACAAGGAAATTTAATTTTATTTATTATTTAGGAATAATTTCAATATAATTACCTAAAGTGGAACACTTATATTTTGCCCCAAAATCAAACATGTAATTTTACCTTCTATTTCACGACAGAAATAAGTGATTTCCCATTTTTCTTGAAAAACACGGCTCTCACTTTCAGTAGTTCTTTTTTTGCTACTTGAATTTTTTGAAAGCGGCATTGCCCTTTAAAAGTTACTGTACATATACAAGAAAACTCGTAGTTGATAATTTAATGTTTAATTATAACCTTTATACATTCATCACAATGTAACATCAGCACTGGTCGCTGTGTGAAAATGAACTGAATGACAATGTACAAGAGACTAATGGACTAGTAGGAAGGTGTATCTTGTCTCAGTGGTCATAAAAGTGAAAGTTTGGTAGCAGCCCATTAGACAATGGCTGGGTGTTGCAAGCTAGTTTTTAAGGTAGAAATCCCTTGCATTTGTCTGTCAGTTGCCACCCTCCTTGCATTCTTACTACGCCTCCAAAAGGGATTCTTGGAAATACTTGGGGTGCGGATTTTAGTGCATTCATCAGTAATCTGTCAGACAATAATGTGGTAGTATTTCCATTTGCTTTCCACATCGCAGTACAACAGCCGTTCAAACCACTCTGGTCACGCCTGTTGCTATACGAACTTGAACCATCTCGAGCATCATTTGCTCTGTGCTTCAAGTCCCTGCTGATGACGCTGCTTCCGGCATCAGTTTTTGGTTTTTGGTGCCTCTCTTCGTCTCATGCCTACCCTTTGACCTGTCCAGCAAGGGAGGCCCTGCCAGTAGCTACGCTACCGCTGGTATAGCTCTCAGGGTCCTTGACATACTCAAACCCCCTCACCACCAATAGTTTGTCCTTCATGAACTTTACAAACCGTTAGTTGGACAAACCCTTCTGCAATTCTGAGAATCACTTTTCCTGCAGCCTGCTAATTTAGGTCTGCATGAGACCTCTTGTCTTCTGGTCTGTTGGAAAATTGTCTTTACAAAAAATATTTCTACTAAAATTTTAATATTGATTTTAATATCAATTAGCTCTAAAAGTTGAGGGGCTGCATGTTTGACATGGCTGATGTAGACCCATTGCTAGGTAATGACTTGTACATACTCAGCAGAGGAATGTGTCATGTATGTGGTGATGTCATGCAGCAGTAGAAGAGATGTTGTAGATGGTGTTTTCTGTGGGTCTGCTCCATAGCTGTATGACTTGACTGATTGAGTTCACTTCATTTAGTGAGTGCACTGCAGTTGAGTACTGTGGAGTGAAGTGATTTGTGAAGTGTAGTAACGAGTTGTAGAAATGTGCAGTAAATCCAATTACCAATCCAAACTCCATCTGTAGTCACCAATACATGCGACAGTATGTATGATTTATTTCCCTATCTTCATCTGTTTCAGAGGAACATAGCAGTACTTAGTTTACATGAAAAAAATATGGTCAGAAACAGTGATTTTAATTTTGCAGTTTTCTTATACCCTAAGAGTTAGCACAAGAAAATGGCTGTCAGAAGTGTAATTGTAATGTATATATTGAGCATGTGGATATTTGCTTGCTGGTGGAAATATCAAAGGGTCCCATAGGAATTTATAATCATTCAAAGTATTTATTCAGAGAAAATATTTATTTTCCAGTATAGCACTGTTAAGATGAGCTGTGTGATTTGAGGTTTTCATGGCAGTGGTAGTTTAGATTGTGACCTGGCCTGTGAGACTGTATAGTCATGTATGGGTTTACCAACATTTTGAACTAAATTCAGTCTTGCTGCAGTCTTCCTGATACGTGTATACTGAAAAGAAAGGTAATCACTGTAACTGTACGTTGACATTTTTGTTGCCCCTTCATACAAACAGAAAGCTCCTGTGGCTTGTGTACCAACTGGTGTGAAACACTTGCATCAGAAAGCTCTGGAATATGATATTGGAATTTATTTTGAAGCCAATGGACATGGAACTGTTATATTCAGTGACTTTGCTACCAAACGTATCTGCTGTGCTGCTGAAGAACCAAGGTTTGGATTTAATGTGTATTTTTATGTTTTAAAAATCCTTCAGTATTTAAATGCTATAAATGGCTGTTACTAACACACTGGGTTCTGGTAAAGTTATCTCATATGCCTTTCATCAGTAGGCATATTGTCTGGTTTTAGGTTATGTTCAAATGGCCGAACCACAGAAAATATCGATGACTCAGACTCCTGGAGTAGTCTTGGCTTATCTCTAGTGCACAAGGCATGAAGAGAAAAGTAAATTTTAAAAATGCTCATCATTATTGAAACTAAACAGTTGTCATCTCATGTACCTTCCAAAACAGAGAAGATTCAAATGTATAAGCAATATATATTTGCCTCTTGTTTTATATGGTTATGAGATATGGTGTCTTATTCACTAATTGAACCAACTTCATGGTATGCAGTCTTCCTTGAAAGGATACTATATCAAAATGTGAAGAAATTCCTCTCTTCCATGGGGTATGAATGTTCACCAGTGTGTGTACCATAGTAGTCTCTTAGTATGAGGGAATATCGCATATTTCCTGCATCTGGAAAGAGATCACTAAGAAACATTGGGGTTGAACTGGGAATGAAGATTTTACATAATGAGGAACTTCAAGATTTACACTTTTGTAGCATTAATAAGGGAGCCAGGATAGCGTAGTCGGTAAAAATGTACTTTAATCAGGGATATTACACTGAATTGGGCATGTAGCTTGGATAGTAAGAACTGTAAATTACTACAGAAAATTGATGAGGTACTTGGAATGTGACCTGTTGAAAGAATGAAACAGAGATTGGATGAAAATATTAATATGGATATTAAATGAAAATTAGTTTTGAGAGTACAGGACAGCCTCCAGTGGCAACATTGTTATTAGAGGTGTTATCCTTAGTTTATTACATCATTTTTACTGATCATATGTGAACAAAAATGTATTGCATTCAGTACTCACATTGTATCATGTTAACAGCTTACCTAAAAAGCAACTGTGTGCCATAAGAACACTTGCAGCCATAATAGAGGCCATAAACCAAACAGTTGGTGATGCAATATCAGACTTGTTGATTTTGGAAACTGTTCTGCATGCTAGAGGCTGGAGCATACAGGATTGGGAAGCTGCATACACTGACTTACCCAATAGACAACTCAAAGTGACTCTGAAGGTAGGGGAATAGTGTTAGTGTCTTATGCTGAGTATGTAAGTGATGAAACATCCCTCACTGGTCTCATTGAGCATGTGGGATAATGATTCTGTTTACTGAAACTGTTGTATAAGGGGTGGGCCTTCTCGGCCCTTGCACCACAACCTACAGTGATCTATTTTGCTTTACTGAAACTGTTAGTCATCATCATGAACCCTGAACTCCCTTAGGTGTCTTAGATTTCCTTAACCCATTCATTTGTCCATGTTTTGGTATTCTGTTTGTCTATGTTCTTTATGTGTGTTGTAGCTAATTATTGGGTAGTTTTTAATGTCATTGATATTGTTGGAAACATTAATTTTGTTTCTATTGTCTCTGATTCATTGGTGACCTAATTTTGTAATACTACAGATCATGAAACCCTCATTTGTGTGGCTTTCAATGTAAATTTTCTTAAATATCCATGCCTGAAAACTGCATTCCAAAGTTTCTTTTGCTCTGGTGTTATGCATTGTTATTTTGGTTTCTAATAATGTTAGTCATTTGTTTTGTTAAGATTGTACTGGATCTAGTTGCTGGTTACGGCACTTGAATTATGTCAAATGCAGGAGATTATTGTAGGTTATGTTCAAGAAACCAGCAGTTGTGTAGAGCCAGTAACATGTTTGAGAACAGGGTGCTGGGGAGAGTACGTATATATAAGAGGGAGCAAGTGACAGAAGGCTGGAAATAGGTCCATAATGAAGATTTTCATAATTTGTAAAAGACTTTCTGAGTCCATCTAGTAATATGTCTATAATGTAGTTAGCTTGCAAAAGCAGATTTGTACCTACAATAAGAGCATATCATGGCTAATAATGAGATGTGCAAAACAGCAAGGAATGCAGTTAGAAGATGTGTTTGTAATGTGCAGTGTGAGATCTGTAGATACCACACAGTTACTGACAAGTAGTAGCCCATGACTGGAGAATATAATTTTTAAAGTTTTAAAAGAAAGGAAATATTCATACTTATAGGAAGGCATTTACATGTTGGAATACAGTGCAAAATTCAGACATTTGATAGTTCTCTTTATTTTCCTATTGCAGGATCGAAGAGTGATCGAAACAACAGATGCAGAGAGGAAAAGTGTGGCTCCTCCAGGACTCCAAGATCAGATCAACTTGTTTGTTAGAAATGTGCCAAATGGTAGAGCATTTGTCAGGTATGACAATCAGGGTTAGATCTAGTTGGCTCTGTTAAGTTTGAATGACTGGTTATTTAATGACAGTTTAATGATTAGAGAAATGTTTAACCTTGTAATACTAAGGAGATGAAGGTGAAGATTTAATGACAGTTTAATGATTAGAGAAATGTTTAACCTTGTAATACTAAGGAGATGAAGGTGAAGATTGTAGATGCCAAATACATGTTCCATTCATTTCACCGCAAATCCAACATAGACTAGGGGGAAATGAAATTGGGATTCTAAAAGTGGAAATCTGTCCTCCAAATTTTTAATGCATCAAACGTGGCATAGCAGTTCATTCACATCAGTGTCGTCATCCATTGATGTTTTCATTTGGATGGGTTTCCTTTTGACAAATTCTCCTCCATTCTTTGATGTCCTCCTACAAGTGCTTCTCTTGTACCTGTATCCACAGCATCATTCTTGTCTTTAGTCTCTACCTAGTCCCCAGTTATCCCAAGAGTTGCCTACTCAACATCATTTTTCGTTATCAAAGGAGTATGGCTTCTGTGCATAACACATATCTACAACACTGTATTATTAAATTGTCACAATTCACTATTTTAATATCCTGTCTGTGGGTTTTTGGATTTTATCCCTACTTATTTTTTAATACTGTATAGAAACTTAATCTCTTCTGCTTGTAATCTGTGAGGATCTGTCATGGCACATTGGGCAGTGCTTGTGCATCAGTAGTTTGCCAAACATAATACTGCAATACTTCATCATTTACTGCATTGTCTAGATCTTGTTCTGTGTGGGGTGAATGAGGGACAGACTAGAGGAATAAAAACCTCAAGAATAGATGAGTTTAAAGTGGCTTCAGTGGTCATTCATGTTAACTTCAGAAATGTTTTAAGCACGTGTACAGGTGCTGTCTATGGGTATCTTGGTGTCATCTAATTAGAGGTACAGCTCGTGTCCCACAACTTTAAAAGCTACCAAGAACACCAGGTNATTTTCTCTGTGCTTCAAGTCGCCGCTGATGACGCTGCTTCCGGCATCAGTTTTCGGTGTCTCTCTTCGTCTGATGCCTACCCTTTGACCTGTCCAGCAAGGGAGGCCCTGCCAGTAGCTACGCTACCGCTGGTATAGCTCTCAGGGTCCTTGGCATACTCAAACACCCTCACCACGATAAGGTGGAGACACCAACGAGTGGTAACAATAGGCATTGTAATGTTATTGACTGAAAGCCTTAAAATTATGAGGCATTAAAGCCCTTCTGATCACAGCCATAACCCTCTTGTAAATTCTATTTGAAGTGGAAGTAAATTCAGATGCTATTCTACATTCTTAATTTTTCACAGTTCGTTGCTAGCTCCTTTCATATAAATTTTCTGGGTGTTAGATAGGATCTTTTTCATCCCATCATATCAGTAAGTCATGACACATGACTCCTATGCCATCTCTGTTTATCAGAGCCAGTCTCATGTTATGCAACTGTGTTCCAAAGAATTCATCCTTCTGCTGCTGTACATATCTGTTAGGACATTATTTTCATGTCATTTTGTCCAGTAAAATTTCCGAGATATGGAAACTATTCTGTGGGGACATCCCACATAGCACACTGTTTCCACCGGTCTTTTAGACAGCACTCACTCCTTCGTGAATATCGCATTGCCGGATGTCTCGTTCGTATTTATACCAGCACACACTGCAAATTTCTGCTCCTCATTTTCGCTAGCCAATCAGCGCTCTGCAAATTGTTGCTCCTCAATTGCAAGTTTCGCTCCGCCCACCGAGCATTGTATAAAAGGCGGAGCACAACGCTTGCAAGTCTACAGTCAGTTCTCAATCAGTACATCAGCAGTCTTCAAGCAGTCTACAAGCAACAAGCAATCAGCACACTTCGTCGCCAGTGCTCGGTCTACGGAGGCATCGGCGCTTTGCTGCGCCAGACATGACTGCCACAACTGTCTGGCGGTCACACCCGACTCACTGGGCAACTAGGCCACCTCGATTCACTGGTAGTCATGTCCGACACACTGGGCAACTGGCGTAGCTACCGCCTCTCCGCTCCAGCGACCGTGCTCGATGACCAGACTTCCACCAACAGCTGCCGCGCTGCGATTAAGCAACCTCCACCATCTGCCGCACTGCGGCCAGTCCACACACCGCAACCAACATCCCTTCCTACCGGCGCACGCCGCGCTACTTCACCAGTCAAGCATCTCAGCAACCAACGGTCCTTTTCAGGACCTACAACTGTTTCGAAGAAGTGGGTTGTCATTGAAGTAACGACACAGACAAAAACCCTACAATTCATTTTGTGGCAGAGTTTATATAAGAATGCAGTGTAATACTTGTCCTTTCAGATGTACCATTACAAATTTAATTTATTTTTAGCAACAAAATGCCCCCCTCCCCAGTAAAGAAGATATTTGTGTATGCATGTGTGAGAATGACTTTTCTAGCTCAAGATCAGGCCAAAAAAATTGAGAACTGAGATGAGAATACGTATTTTCTCTAGTAGACCATTTTTCCGCTGAAACCACAATTTATGCCATTGCCCACTTTTCACATTGCACTAAACTGTACTACTGTATTCACTCAAATGGAAGATGATTCCAAATGTAAGACAGTCCTACACTAAGAAACATGGATGGACCTCAAATCTGACATCCTTAAATGGCATGTAGACCTGTTGCTGGGCAGTGACTGTGAAAGAAGCAGCTCAGTAACAGCTTCACAAATGAGCATGTTTGCACAGCAACAGTTGGAAACAGTAACAGAGGAACAGTGTTTCCTGTGTGATTGATGCCAAGATGTTATAAGCAGGAGTGAGTTAGTTGTGAGGCAGTCACCAGCCAGTAAGAACGTGAGAATGGAAGCAGAGGACATTGTTGGGATCCTTCACCAGGCAACGACTGGTGAAGACACAGCAGGCTGAGAAGACCTAGTGTGAACTGTAGTAAGAAGTTGTGTAAAAAGTTAAACAGTTCGTCCACTGTGACTGGTGAAGATTTTTCTTATTTCAATTTTTCATGCCCTTACATGTTTCGGTCATGTAAGGGCATGAAAAATTGAAATAAGAAAAATCTTCATCAGTCACACTGGACAGAACTGTTTAACTTTTTATAATATTGTTAGTGTGATGGATCAGAATGAAACAAATCAAAGTTGTGTAAGTGTGCAATAAATCTGGTTACCAATCCAAACCCCCTTCTATAAAAGGTAAAGTTGTCCCTGTGCTTACTAATTAAGCACTACACCATGAAGGTGTATGGGGGGAGTGGATGTATAGATCACATTTTTCTTGACTTCTTCACTAGTTGGAGATGAGTGGTTAGCTTCACGCCCCAGCTGCTTTACCCCCAGTACCCATTGGATAGGATGTTAGGTGGACCCAGAGCCGGTTTGGAGGATGTGGAGTAGAGAAAAGCCAGTCACTATACTGACTATGCTATCCTGGCTTAACCCTGTCTATAGTCACTCTAAAATCGTGACAAGTATTATTTATTTTCTTAAGAGCACTGTTGGTTTAATGTTTCAGACCAATTTTCATCAGCTGTTCTACATCCCTTTGATTGATACCTGATTATCAGTACCACAGGGACCTGTGCCTTGAACGTAATATTTTGAATCAGTGACATGCTCATATATGTTGATGGTTTTGCACCATCTGCCAATTCAATCAATATTTCATTCAGTCTGATGTTTTATGAGAACATCATCGTTTTTTATTTGTTTCATTCTGGTCCATCACACTAACAATATTATAAAAGATAAAACAATTCTGTCCAGTGTGACTGGTGAATTTTTATTTCAATTCTTCATGCCCTTACATGTTTCGGTCCTTAGAGACAATCATCAGAGGGTTTCCAAACTGTATCGATGTCCCTCTGATGATGGTCTCTAAGGACCGAAACATGTAAGGGCATGAAGAATTGAAATAAAAATTCACCAGTCACACTGGACGGAATTGTTAGGTGGCATATTAGAATACTCTGGTATCTTATTGGCATTGCCTGTTTGGCTTAGTAGGTAACAATGAATTATATTTTTCTGAGAGGCAAGAAATTTCTCCACGAAGTGGAATAGCAGATTGTTGCAAAGTGAAGTTTTTTACTGTAAAGAAAATCCCTTTCTACAAATCATTTGTACACAACAACCTGTGCTGGCCTTAAATTCCTGCTGCTTCTTGAATTTAATAATGTTGCATGAAATAAATACATGGACTGAATGACAATAAACAATAGCTATCACATAGAACTCACTTTCTCTTGTATCCACCTTTGGATATTAGCCTCAGAAACACTATTTTCTTATGCATTACAGTTGTTTGTTCTGCATATTTAATTGCTATAATCCTAAGGTTTGCATTATAACTGTGTCTGATACATTTAACATATTGTTCTTCTGCACTACTTCCTCTTTTCTTGGCATGAATCTGTCATGTTTATGGCAATGGACACATTTCATGACATCCTGTATTGGGGACTTGCCAATTTTATTTATTGACCTATATGGTACTTTGGCCACTCATGGCTTCTAACCTTGACATATATTTTTCTTGCTTCCTACTCTCATAGCACAGTACACTGCAAACTTTAGCATGAACCTACTAAAAGCTGTTTGTATATGTATGAATGTTGACCAGTAGTGTTGTTAACCCTTAAAATAAGAATAAAACCTTACCTTCCATTTGGTTAATACAATACTTATCCCTTTTTACATTAGGTGCCAACGTGTTAAACAAAAGGAATTACCAGAAAATTCTTGAAGTTGAAGACTGAAAAATAAATGTTCAAATCAAGACCAAGAATTTTCTATTGTATTTCAAAACTCTGAGATACATGCATGCCTAATTTTCATTGTAAACAAAGTGAAACTAATCAGGCAATAAAATACTGTGGGAATAATTTAAAATCTAATATTGTAGTCACTCATACACGTGACAGTACTGTAAAGTTTTTACTATTTTGAAATCTGTACATTATCCCTTCAATAGAAACCTTAGAATAAAGAGGTTTAACTGTGAATGGTCACCCCAAATAACAGTATATGTTATCTTTTGCGCAGACCTTCAGGAACAGAAGACATTGTTCGAGTTTATGCTGAGGCAGACACACAAGCTAATGCTGATCAACTAGCACTTCAGGTTGCTTCTGCTGTATATCAGCTGGCAGGGGGAGTAGGCAGTCCTCCTGCATTGGAGTGACAACACAGCAGGTGCAGTAGCTTGTATCTGGTGAAGGGATGGAACTTGCTGCTGATTACAAAATGGTAATGACTGTATTTCCTCTTCCCTTTGCATATATAAAGTGTAATAGGATTGACATCTAACATTTAGAGCCTTGGCCATTTTATGTATGTAATATGTAAATGCCTGGATATTTTTGACATAGAATAAAAAAATTATGCAATAATAAATATAACTCTTAATGTATGGGATTTGGGGGCAATTTTGGGATCATGAAGAAGAGTAGGATACAGATTTTTCATGTTTGTATGCTTCATAGTTCCTCAATAAAACACCTGAAACTGCTTGAAAAATGAAGACTACAAATTATTACATGAATGAGTGCTTTGGAGAACAAAGTACAGGTGACAAGAGGTGCTGTACCTCTTCATCAGAATGGAACTTCTTTCCTCCCATCGCCCCTTTGAGTGGCCCAAACATGTGGTAATCACTTGGGGCTAGGTCTGGTGAGTATGGCAGATGTGGAAGACACTCAAAGTGCAAGTCTTGGATTGTTGCAACTGTTGCACAGGCAGTATGGGGCCGAGCACTGTCATGTTGCAAAAGGACACCTCTAATCAAAAGTCCACGTCGCTTTGATCTGACTGCAGGTTGAAGATGATTCTTCAAGAGATCTGAATATGAGGCACTGGTGTTCCCCCCAGGCATGCAGTAAGTATATAGGTTTCACTGATTGTCAAAAATGATCACTGTATTGAAGAAATATTTTACTTCATAGAATGTTACAAAAGACAAACTTTGATGCGGCTAATATTAACTTTCACTGGCTGTGGGTTGCATTTTTCATAAACTGTCATACCAGCACAATGGTAAATAGACTGAGACATGGTGATTGTAGAGACTAAGCCACAGGGTACTCAGGACTGTAATTATCCTAACACATAGTACCTTGTAGAATGCACAATGGTTTGAAACAAAGAAATGCTTTGCTACCATAATTTTTCAACTTTGGTTTAGAATATGCTATTAGAAAGGTACAAGAAAATCCAAAGAACCTGGATTTAAATGGGACCTATCAGATGTCTGTCTGTACTGATTAATTGGATATACATAAATGCCATATAAAGAGAATCTGTTAGAGATAATAAGGAGGTTGATCCAGAAGTTAATGCACAGAAGACTAATGTTGGTGTGTCACTTCAATGGAAGAATGTTGAGGATGTTGAGATATTTAGTGACTTAAAAGGGACTAAGGGACAGGAGGCTGAAGAATACACTGTGAGGCGGTAATTTAATGTGTAATTTACTGTGGTAGAGAGCGACATATGAATTACAGTGTGTTAAGAATTCCTACCTGATCTTGAACAACAACAAAGAGGCAAGTGACCATTTACATAATACCGATGTCTTTGTGGATTATCTTTACACAAAATGACCTATGAATCAAGGTCACAGTCACAGCTAGAGTACTTTGGCCTTGACCTTTGTGACCAGTATCCAGACAGGAGCAACATGAATATTAACAAGTGACACGAAAGACATTGTCATGTTGCAGCTCAAGTTTCTGACACTTATCAGCATCACCTACCTGGCAGGCAGAAAGTTAACATGTACTTTAGAGGAATAATGAAATTATGACTCAGACAACAGTCAGGGAAGAATAGCAGCAGTACAATTGGAACAGTAGGAACTTATTTTAAATCCCTGTAAACACAACTGCACAACAAATCCATGTGAAATATTAATCCTGTGATAATCAGCAATCGTGTTAGTAAAATTTCTGGATCGACATTTCCAAAGGAGCTGAAGTAGCTCAGTCGCTACATTCAGACCAGTTTTAGGACCCACCCCAGCTCTTCCTGGGGTTCAAGCAGCCAGGCCATGAAGCTGACCACCTAGTGCCATAGGTCATGGTGTGGTACTTCATTGGTAAAGCTTAGACACTTTACCTTTTCTTTTCTAAGGGAAGTTCTCAAGAAATGTAACCTCACCCAATGAGCCACAGGAGTAGCAACACTAAGGATCAAGTTCTGTTGTGATTATTCAGTGAACAAGAGGGTGATAGCTACAGTTTGTGGCAGCACTATGTTATGTACATATTCACAGAATATGTAGTTACACTTACAGAGCGAGCCATGAGGACTGCACTATAACATTTACTGCAGGAGAATAAGCGATGACAGTGGTAAACGAACTGTGAAACCAGCCTCACTCCTGAGGCACAGTACAGTACTGTCGCCAATTATTATTTGGGTGATCATATCTAGGAAAATGGGACGGGGAAGGTATGTGTCACACATATAACAGATGAGCAAGTCAGGAAAACCTAATACATGGTGGGGCACAGAAACTTCCTTTTTGTGAAGACTCATTGTGAAGGGAGGGGAGGTAGCAGAAAAGTGGGGATAGGCTCGGTGAACGCAGCAGTCACAGAAGTTTCTGTCTAATACCCCTCAGTAAGAAACATAAGGTGGATGAGTGAGCAGCATGCGTTTGCTGTTGAAGCCTATTTTTTTTAACAACCATTCCTACGTGGCGGTGCGGCGTGCGTTTCGTACTCACTTCGGAATTAAGCCCAGAGGTCCGGTTCCCGACCAGAAATCGATTGTTTTGTGGGTAGAGAACTTTAGGACAACTGGGAGTGTGGTGAAANNNNGATGCCATAAAATGTGGAGGCAGTTTGACAGTCAATTTTGAGATCTCCAAGACGCTCCACTCGCAAACATGCAGTCGCCCTAGACATCCAGTCGTTCAATGCGCCGAATTCTTCACGAATATCTTCATTTCCATCCCTATAAGATGGTTGTTGTGCAAGAATTGTCACCACGTGATTTCCAGAACCGAATAATGGCACGTGAAACGTTATTGGAAATTTTACCCCCTGACACACTTGTTTTCTTTAGTGATGAGGCACATTTTCACCTATCTGGATATGTCAACAAGCAGAATATGCACCATTGGAGTGGTAACAATCCCAGACAGCTCTATGAGAGGCCACTTCACAGTGATAATGTGACAGTATGGTGTGCGTTGTCAAGAGTTGGAGTTATTGGCCCTTATTTTTTTTTAAGAGGACAGTCATGCAATTACTGTCAATTCACAGCAGTATGTGGACACGATTAAAAACTTTTTCGAACCAGCTCTTGAAGAAATGCATTTAGGAAATGTCTGGTTTCAACAGGATGGTGCCACAGCCTGAGCTTCGATGACAGTTTTGAGGGCAAAGTTCCCCAGACAGCTCATCTCGCTTCGAGGTGACATCCCATGGGCAGCGCACTCACCTGATCTACCACCGTGATTTTTTATTATGGGGATACCTCAAGGCAGAGGTTTTTAAACATCACCCCACAAACCTGCTTCAGCTGAAGAATGTTATTCGGCAGAAGTAGCCCAAATTCCGGTGCACATGTTGGAACATGCAGAGGGGAACTTCAGGAAACGGTTGCATCAGTGCATAGAGAACGGCGGCCACCACCTTCAAGATATTTTGTTTAAAACTACATGATTTAAAACTTTAAAGTATGTTCTTTCATTAGCTAAACATAAATTTTGTCTATCAGCAATAATTTTTCTTTTATTTGCCTTTAAAAAAAGGAAGTTTCTGCACCCCATTCTGTATTATAAGAGTGTGCACTGGAAAGGATTAAGTGCTGGGCTCTTGTGAACATGGTAATGAGCAAAAAAGCAGGAAATATCTTGACTGAATGACTTGTGGCTTCTCAAGAAAAACTCTACCCCATAGTTTGTCCCATCATTGTCACAGAGGAGCTCTACATGAATTTATACACAATCTTCTGAGCTACTATTAGCTTTTCAAGGACTCAATCTATATAGTAATTACATTTTATAGCCCCTAGAAACTGCAGAATGAAGCGTTTTCAGGCATTCTGACTATCCCTATGTATCAGCTGATTTCTTCAGTTTTGCTGACAGGTGAAAGCACATTAAAGCAAGTGACAATGGCTACCATTTGCATGGTATCTTCTTTACAGTACTGTAATATGGAATATTTTGTTTTAAAACTTTCCTGTTTGTGCATCATTTACAATATACGAGGGAGGACCCAAAAATAACCGGAATTTATTTTTATTTTTTATTTTTGCATTTTTATTGAACTGTATATTAGTCCCCTTCAGAGTATTGTCCATGTGCATTAATGCACTTGTCCCACTGCTTTTGCCACTGCTC